CTCGCTTTCAGTTTCGGGCTTTGGCGCGTTTTGCACTCACACACAAAGCCCAAATGAACCGCGCTCAGGCACACCTCTTCCAACCGGGCCAGGGCCGGCCAAGTGAACCGTGCTTGAGCCCGATTCAGCGCACTCACACTTCTCAAACGATCCGGGAAACGGGCCTGGGCACGGTACGGATGGCATAGTGTGAGTAGGCCCTAAGTTACCAGGGGTCGCCACAGGGGAATGAACCGCAAAATATTCCGGCATATGTTTTACGCAGCAGATGCCCTTCCAGCTGCAACCCAGTACTGAGAACACCTATAAACTCTCTCCTTCACACACTCTCAAACACTACAGCTAATTTAGTTCATCCAATTCACCTATACTGCATGTCTGTGGTCTGTTGGTGAAACCGGAGCACCCGGAGAAAACCGACACGAACACTGGGAAACCATACAAACTCCACACAGAAATGCCAACTAACCCAGCCAGGACTCAATTCAGTGACCTTCCAGCTGAGAGGCAACAGTGCTAACCACTAAGCCACCATGAAACACCACTAAAGCAACAGTATATTAGATTCCTTTCAATAGTTTGCTGTTGGTTGGCATCTTAATGTCCTTGTTTAGAGTCCAGCGGCGGTGTGCTTTACATGAAGCTCCAATTCCATGAAGCTCTCTACACACTGTTCTTGAGCTAAACTGAAGGCCACATGAAGTTTGGACGACTGCAGCTATTGAATCTAGATAGTGGGCGACTTCTGCGCACATCAGCATGCTGTGATTCTATGTGGCCTACCGCTTCGTGACTGAGCTGCTGTAGATCCCAATTGCTTCCACTTTCTTATAATAATACTTATAGTTGACCATGGAATATTTAGTGGTGAGGAACTTTATTGCACAGGTGGCAACTTACCATGGCCCCACGCTTCACTGAGCTCCTGAGAGTAAGCCATTCTTTAACAAAAGTTTGTAAAAGCAATTTGCATGCCTAGATGCTTGATTTTATTATTATTTATACATATTTTTTTATTTCCTTTATTTAGCCAGGAGATCACATTGAGACAGTACTGTCTCTTCTTCCAGTGAGACCTGGTCAAGATGGCAGGCAGCACATAAAGTTTCATATAAAAATCCCAAACAATACCACAAAATTACAAAATCACCATTCTAAAAATCATCATTTATACATCTGTTGCCATGCATGTGATTAAAATGAACCCTTTTCACAAGACGCATTTACAGTCATCAGCATCGTAAACCCTTTTATTAATTAAATTTTTTTTTTTAATTGCATGAACATTTATATGTATTTATGTATGTATCACGGCAGCACGGTGGATTAATGGTTAGCACTGTCTCCTCACAGCAAGAAGGTCGCTGGTTCAAGTCTCGGCTGGATCAGTTGGCATTTCCGTGTGGAGTTTGCATGTTCTCCCCATGTTTGCATGGGTTTCCTCCGGGTGCTCCGGTTTCCCCCACAGTCCAAAGACATGTGCTGTAGGTGATTTAAATAAACCAAATTGTCAGTAGTGTATGTGTGTGAATGAGTTTGTATGGGTGTTTTCGAGTACTGGATTGCAGCTAAAGGGGCGCTAGCTGCATAAAACATATGCTAGAATAGTTGGCAGTTCATTCCACTGTGTCGATCTCTGAAATAAAGACTAAGCTGAAGGAAAATGAATGAATGAAGAAACAAAAAAGCCCTCAAAATGATTGAAATTCATAATAAAATACAGAAAAAAAAGTTTCTTAACATAACAGCCATAAAGCGATAGCAGTCAAGAGCAGTGACTGATTTTGTCCTAGTGTTTTGTGGTTTATTAATACACCTACATCCAGGGCTTTACGTTAACTTTTTTAATCACAGGCCACTGTGGCTAGTAGTTTTCCAATGTTACTAGCCACGCTGCATTTTCACTAGCCACAATTTTGTCACTGAGATTGTCATTTTGGGGCTTGCAGGCTGAAAAGATTGGAAACCCCTGTTTTAGTGGATATATTATATGAGGGACTTGCTTTGTTTTCCACATAAATTGGATCTAATGATCTGCATTGTAAACATTAAATAAAAATTAAAGACAAATTATTTTTATTTAATATATTAAGTTTTTTAGTTATGATACTCCCAAAATCATTCCACATAAATCCACAGACTTTTAACAAAATTCTCTGCAGAAATGGCAAAAAATGTCAGCAGATTCTGTCTGGCCCTACTCATTACATAATATAGCAATGAATAATTATTTTAACTGCATTTTGAATTTGAATTGCAATTGAATTTATGTGCAGCTTAAGCTAAAAGATGACTTTAAATTTGCATGTTCTGCTCGTCTCTGAAACTGAGCGAATGCACAGAACAGCACAAGTTCTCTGTCATGTTTTTTAAAACATGAATAAATCTAATAAACTTTAATAAATCATGCACATCCCATGCTGCAAGAGTCACATTACACAATTTTACTGATTTCCATGTTAAATTGGGCTTGGCTAGAAGGGGGCTGGAACAGATATGATGCAAAAATTGTTGATAGCTACAGCTAGTTTCGTAAATGAATCGCAAATTGGATTGTGATTATTTGCAAAGTCCAAATTGTAAGTACCGAACAAACAGCTGTACACACAAATGCACACATGACAAACATGTTATCTGATAAGCCCAGAATATCATTAGCCCATTACCCATTGTTTATTTCTGATTTCATGAAGTTAAGAAGCTCCTTTAATTGATCGTTTATTGTGAAAAGAAATGTGTTTTGTATTTGTGTTGTGAAAAGGGAACACTGGCCTTTTTGCATTCCTTTATGTGTCCTTCTTCAGCGGGTTACCTCAAGCTGAGTAAAGCATGTTTGCATGGTGTAAACCTGTGCGAACTGACTCACTGACTGTGAGATTTAGAAGCTAAATCCACTGAACATTTCTGAGGCTGCACTGTCATGAAATTCTTTTCAGACCAGATGAATACCCCGAGGTTTTGCAGACAGAATTTACTTCAGGCAAGTAAACAACACCACCATCCAGTGCGAGCAGGAGTGTATATGGAGTTCATTTACAAAAATAACCCAGTTTTATACATTTTCATAAATCATTACTTTTTATTGTGCGCACTCAGTGGCCACTTTAATAGGTACACCTTACTAGTACTGGGTTGGACCCTCTTTTGCCTTCAGAACTGCCTTAGATCTTCTAGGCATAGATTCAACAAGGTACTGGAAATATCCCACAGAGATTTTGGTCCATATTGACTTGATAGCATCACGCAGATGCTGCAGATTTGTCGGCTGCACATCCATGATGTGAATCTCCCATTACACAACATTTCAAAAGTGCTCTATTGGATTGAGCTCTGGTGACTATGGAGGCCATTTGAGTACAGTGAACTCATTGTCATGTTCAAGAAACCAGTCTGAGATGATTCACGCTTTATGACATGCCGAGTTATCGTGCTAGAAGTATCCATCCTAAGATTGGTACATTGTGGTCATAAAGGGATGGACATGGTCAGCAACAGTATTCAGGTAGGCTATGGCGTCGACACGATGATCAATTGGTACTAAAAGGCCAAAAGAGTGCCAAGAAAATATCCCCCAACACCATTACACCACCAACAGCCTGAACTGTTGATACAAGGCAGGATGGATCCATGCTTTTTACGTTGTTGATGCTAAAGTTTGACCCTACCATCCGAATGTTGCAGCAAAAATCAAGACTCATCAGTTCAGGCAACATTTTTCCAATCTTCCATTGTTCAGTTTTGGTGAGTCTGTGCAAATTGTAGCCTCAGTTTTCTGTTCTTTGCTGACAGGAGTGGCACCCGGTGTGGTTTTCTGCTGCTGTAGCCCATCCGCCTCAAGGTTGAGCGTTCAGAGACACTCTTCTACGTACATTGGTTGTAACGAGTGGTTATTTGAGTTACTGTTGCCTTTCTATCAGCTGGAACCAGCCTGGCCATTCTCCTTTAACCTCTGGCATCAACAAGGCATTTGTGCCCACAGAACTGCCGCTCACTGCATAGTTTCTCTTTTTTAGACCATTCTCTGTAAACCCTAGAGATGGTTGTGCATGAAAATCCCAGTAGATCAGCAGTTTCTGAAATACTCAGACCCATCTGGCACCAACAACTATACAACATTCAAAGTCACTTAAATTACCTTTCTTCCCCATTCTGATGCTTGGTTTGAACTGCAGCAGATCATCTCGATCATGTCTACATACCTAAATGCATTAAGTTGCAGCCATGTGATTTGCTGATCAGACATCTGCATAACGAGCAGCTGGACAGGTGTACCTAATAAAGTGGCCGGTGAGTGTATATAAACACAGTAATCTGTCTTTGCCAATGAACTCTTCATACAGTTGAAATAAGAATTATTAGTCTCCCTGTATATTGTTTTTCCCAATTTCTGTTCAACGTAGAGAAGACTTTTTTTCTGAACATAATAGTTTTAATAACTCATTTCTAATAACTGATTTATTTTATCTGTGCCATGATGACAGAACATACTAATTTACTAGTTATTATTCAAAATACTATTAATCAGGTTAAAGTGCAATTTAAAGGCTTAACTATAGGGTAATTAGGGTAACTAGGCAAGCCATTGTAAAACAGTGGTTTATTCTGAAGACAATCAAATAAAATATTGCTTAAGGGGCGAATAATACTGACCTTAAAATGGGTTTTTAAAACTTTAAATCTGCTTTTATCTTAGTTGAAATTTAAACAAATAAGATTTTCTCCAGAAGAAAAAAATACTATAGGAAATACAATGAAAAATCATTTGAGAAATTGTTTGAAAAAGAAACAAATATTCAGAGAAGGGCTAATAATTTTGACTTCAACTATATGTACATTTACAGAACCATCAATGTTAGGTTTTGTTTCTATCAAAAAAGTCAAATTCAATGTCATTTTTTTTTTCCATCCACAATAATTTTGATCTCCTAAAAAAAGAACCAGTTTGTTAACAAGTCTCATGAGACATTATTATGAAAAATGACAGTAAAAATGTTTCATACCATCATATGTCCCACTCTCCAACAGTAATCCACTCTCCTCCAGGATGCGAAAATCCCCCACGCTGATGAAATTATAGTCCACTCCTGGAACCTCCCCATCTCTGGGCAGCCGAGTGGTACCTTCCAGTAAAACAAACACAATTAGAGACAGCAATGTACTTCTGGTGAGAATATCCAACACCCACAATCCCCTTCACTGGCAACTTTGTGTCTGTCTAAACACAGCCGCAGATTGAGCGAAATTAAAATTGGATTCCCTGGCTGCATTTCAGCGTATCCTTTCAGAACGAGTGCACTCAATCTGAAACTGTAAACAGAACAGATCCCAAACTCCCATAGATAAGACCTGGAAACCGTTATTCCGAATATGGAACTGGGAAACGTGAAATGTGTATTAGCAGAAATGTGTTCCAGATATTATAATTATTTAAAACTTATTTTTGATTATACCATAAGGAGCATTACATTTGATAATTTTGCAGGTATTACAGGAACATTTCTAGTGGATGTTCTCTTTATGTTTAGCATTCCAAAACAAGGGGTTCTATTTTGACGGTCCATGCGCAAAGCGCGAAACGCAGGGCGCAAACGCTTTCAGGGCATGTCAGAATGCATTGTTGCTTATTTAAGGAAGGGAAAATCTGCTTTGCGCCGTGGGGCGTGGTCTAAAAGGGTTGAGTTTATTTTCCTAATGAGTTATAGGTGTGTTTTGAGAATAAACCAATCAGAGTATCATCTCCCATTCCCTTTAAGAGCCTTGCGTCGCGCCATAAGCGCATTTGCTATTTACATGAAGTAAAGTAAGTGTAAGTGGAAAAACGGAGCATTTCACAAGCAAACAGTTAACAGTTTTTTTTTTTTTTTTTTTTTTACAGAAAACAGTTAAACAGAGCATCTACCGAGAATGAGAGATAAATCATCTACTTCCACTTTCGCTCTCGTGGATAGGGAAACCTTTAAGCACAGACATCAGTTAGCCTATAAATAATTAATTTTGTTTGTTAAGTGCAAATATTTGTTTCAAAACAATTTCCAAATTCAGTTCTAATATCCGGCAAACTAATAAATGAACAACAATAACAAAGTGTGCTCAAAAACCTGAGTTACATCCTAATACACATGCTGTGCCCCATATGGTCTAAAGCCTGCAGGTGGGCAAATCTAAGCTTGTTTTTAATAAAACAAATATAAATATGGATATAATAAATAATACTGCTAATTATAATAACATTATGCAAAAGCAAATTGTTATGAATGAACTGAAAAAGCCTCCCGAGATGAAAAAGGCATAAAAGCAGTGGTTTTTCATATTTATGTAGACTAGAAAATAATGTTTTGTAATATTTTAATCCTTTATATTTATATCCAATATAATCTTATTTTATCCTATACATATATCCTTAATTTTTTTTTCATATGTAAAGATATTTGCGTATTGTTCGACATCTTGTGTGTATTAAGCAGTGTGTAAGCGAGGCACAACTCTGCACTCGACTTTAGACCGGGTTTGTTTTGGTCTATTGCAGGGGTGTCAAACTCAATTCCTGGAGGGCCGAAGCCCTGCACAGTTTAGTTCCAACCCTGCTCCAACACACTTACCTATAGGTTTCAAACAAGCCTGAAGTACTCAATTAGTTTGATCAGGTGTGTTTAAATAGGGTTGGAACTAAACTGTGCAGAGCTGCGGCCCTTTTGGAGTTTGACACCTGTGGTCTATTGAAAAATCTATTATAGTTTCTCAAAATAGCAACGCGCCAGCAGTGCGCCTCAGAACGCCTTCCTTTTTAGACCAGAACGCCTATGGGCGCACATATGAGCGCAAATGCATTTGCTATTTAAACAGCGTAGCGCAACGCATCAAAATGACTCTTGCGCCAAGCTGAAACTATGCGACTATTGCGATTTGCCGCTCACGACCCCCAAAATAACAACTCCAGTGACTCGCAACCCTCACTATCATCGGATGTGGTTATGAACATATAAACAGTTAACGATGCGCACACACACACCCATATGAACTTTATAAACAAGCTTATTTACAACACAAAAAAAGCGCAACATTCTCATTTAGTCATTCATTTTCTTTTTGGCTTAGTCTCTTTATTAATCAGGGGTTGCCACAGGGGAATGAACCACCAACAGTGGATGCCCTTCCAGCCACAATCTAACACCTATACACTATTGCATTCACACACAAACACAATAGTCAATTTACCTTATTCAATTCACCGATACCACATATCTTTGGACTGTGGGGAAAACCGGAGCACCAGGAGGAAACCCACATGAACACGGGGAGAATATGCACACTCCACATAGGCATGCTAACTGACCCAGGCATAATGTGTAAAAACATGACAAGTTATCCATGTCAGGACTGCTTTAAGGAAGTCAAAGTAAAAAAGGAAAGGTTGTAAAAACTTTGACTGACATTATAAGTGGACTTGAGGGGAAAGTGACCTATTTAAATGACTTGGTAAAACAGCCAGCGGAAAATGTTTTGCTGTGCATTTTATCATCGTCATCCTATATGGAAGTTAATGGTTACAAGTTTCTAACATTTTTTTATTGTTAAATATCTTATTTTGTGTTCAACAGAAGAAAAAAAATGCTTATATGGAACTACTTGAGAGTAAATTTAAATTTTTGGCTGAACTATCATTTAAAAACCACACCAGATAACTCTGAACAAACATTCTATTAACATTACCGGAATAACATTGACATTTAGCCTATACCTAAAGTCAATTAACTATCTAAAGTTCAAAGAATGAAAAAATAGCTTGTAAACACTAAGAAAGATGTACTTATTAGCCAAACCGAGTAGAACAAGGCCATATTACATCATATCAGAGGAAATCATGTGTTATTTAGTGTGTTATTCAGGCATAGTGTAGTCGCAGATTGTTCCATTCACAGGGGAGACGGTGACACAAAGGTGGAAAGTGTGCACAGACTGTGTAAAATGAGATTCAGCCTCTGAAGCGTTCAGCACATTTGAAAGACGTGTGTGTGTGTGCATGTCTGCAGTGTAGCAAGCTTTCACAAATACCGTATTTTCTTTCAGTTTCTCAGACATGTCAACATTTACTCATCCTAATGTTTGGACCACTTTCATTGGTTAGACTCAAAAGAAGATATTTTAGAGGATGTTCAAGCTGCTCAAAAATGTATTGGGAACTGTCAGAAAACCCCTTAAAAAAGGATATTAAATTCCCAATGTAACTGATTACCTACCAAACCTACAGTAAATGCAAAGAATTTTACTTTGAGTGAAAGCATCTGCTAAATGTGGAAGCTTGTTTTCACCAAAATTATATTTTTTTCCCTACAATAGTCTTCTTTTCACAGATTTGCTAGTTTATTTCTTGCAGTTTTAATAAGGAAAATTGTAAGATATTATGTCAGAACTGCATCAAAATATATACTTCAAGGAATTTTGAAGCTGCTCAAAAATGTACTATGATCAGGGACTGTCAGTAAAGATAGAAAAAGGTATGAAGATCTAAATTTGATCGATAAACTACAAAAACTACAGTAAATGCAAAGAAATTTACATTGATTGAAGGCATCTGCTAAATGTGGAAGATTGTTCACACCAAAATTATATTTTTTTCCCTACAATAGTCTTCTTTTCACAGATTTGCTAGTTTATTTTTTGCAGTTTTGAAAATTGTGAGATATAAAGACTGAACTGCAACAACAATATATATTTTACAGGATCTACATTGTAAAAAGTGCTATAGACAAATAAACAAAACATATGATGTTGAAGCTACTCTAAAGTGTACTGTGATCTGGGACTGTCAGAAAACCTCCATAAAGAGTACTAAAATCCAAGTTTAACTGATGAACTACAGAAACTACAGTGAATGCAAACAAATTTACTTTGAATTAAAGCGTCTGTTAAATGTGTGTGTTTTCACCAAAATAAACTTTGCTTACAATAATCTTCTCTCCACAGATTCGCTAGTTTATTTCTTGTAGCTTTGAAAAAAAAAGTTGAGATATTAAGTCAGAATTGTGAAATGTTAAGAAGGAAACTTAAGAATTATGAGGTGTAAACATGAAATTGCATACATTGTTTGTTTTTTTGTTTGTAAAAATAAAAGTTGTATTTTTTGTGATTAATTTAATTAACTTTTGACAGAATTATTAACCCTTACACAAGTACAATCCCACCTTGTATAGTCTCTGACGTGTATAATCACACCAGTGTGATTAGAACAGTAAGAGCGCACATCATCAACTTAAAGCGCTTGTCATAAATTATGATTTACCCGTGCTTTTAAACAAATAACTTTTTTTAGGTTTTCAGACATTCAAACACACTACAAGCAAAACATAAAATGTTCAAAAATGCACCAAGATGTCTAAGAAAATGCCAATATTCATTATTTTTCAATATAATTAGATGATTTGTTCACATCACACTGTTTATGTTACTAGAATATTTTCTCTACTCCTCTCCCAGTTGCTTACCTTTTAGTATTTTGACAGAAAATTATGAATAAACAAGACGTAAATCCAACAGTATAGATCTCTCCTGCTGTTGTTACTAGAAGGGATAAAGCTGAAATCGGAAGTTAATGAGAAGTATTAATATTATTTAATAATTTACACATTACTTGTATTTTATTAGCATCTACCCCTACCTCAACCCTATACCTAACCCTCACGGTAATGAAAAAATATTATTTGTTGTGCAGTGTCAAATAAATGACACTATATTCACGTCAACTGTATCCCAATTAGACTTCACCACGTTGCAGAAGAGGCATGAAAGGGTTAAATGTAAAGTCATATTGGTCAGATATCAATTTATAATTGTGATATACTAAACTCCAATTATATTTATTTTCAATTTTTGTCTCATGGCAGAAAAAGAGTTGCATGGTTAAATGCATTATAAACTATTATGTGACTTACAGAAGAAAACAAAACAAAACATGGATTTCTAGCATCATGATGCCAGAATCTTCATTTCTGGGTGAATTATTCCATTCCTCAATGGATGTACGCCAAGATAAATTTTTTTTTAATTCTGCCTGTTCAACCCTGCGTGAGTGTGTTTACTTGAAAAACATCAAATATAAACTGTACCCGTTTGGGCCTAATTT